GCAATCCTCCTGCCTCAGCCTCCTGAATAGCTGGGACTACAGACATTTGCCACGATGCCTAAATAATTTTTTTAAGCAGTCTCACTCTGTTGCCCCAGGCTAGGGTACCATGGCATCATAGCTCACAGCAACCTCAAACTCCTAGGTTCAAGTGATCCTCCTGCTTCAGCCTCCCAAATAACTGGGGTTGCAGGCAGCCTCTACCATGCCCAGTTAATTTTTTCTATTTTTAGTAGAAACAGGGTCTTGCTCTTGCTCAGGCTAATCTTGAACTTTGGAACTTAAGTGATCCTCCCACCTCAGCCTCCTAGAGTGCTAGGATTACAGGTGTTAGCCACTGTATCCAGCCTATTTTTTAATTTTCCTTTCTGAGACAATCTCACTGTATTGCCCTGGGTAGGGTGCCGTGGCATCATAGCTCACAGCAACCTCAAACTTGAGCTCAAGTGATCCTCTTGCCTTAGCCTCCCAAGTAGCTGGGACTACAGGTACCTGCCACAATACCTGGCTAGTTTTTCTATTTTTTTTTTCAGTAGAGACGGGGGTCTCCCTCTTGCTCAAGTTGGTCTCAAATTCCTGAGCTCAAGCAAACCATCTGCCTCGGCCTCTCAGAGTGCTAGGATTACAGGGGCGAACCACCCCACCCAGCCTTTAAATTTTTATTATAAAACTTTTCAAGCATACTGAAAAGTAGACAGTTATAGCACAAGTATAATAAATATCTATATGTCTACTATATAGATACAAAAAATTTCTATATTTTGCCATGGTGTCACTTAATGTGTCACATTAATGACAGTCATGTCACTTAATGAGGAACAGTTCTGAAAAATGAGTGTTTTGTGGGCAGCGCCTGTAGCTTAGTGGGTAGGGTGCTGGCCACATACACACAGGCTAGCAGGTTCGAACTCAGCCTGTGCCAGCTAAACAACAATGCCAACTGCGACAAAAAAAAATAGCCGGGCCTTGTGGTGGGTTCCTGTAATCCCGGCTGCTTAGGAGAATGAGGCAAGAGAATCGCCTAAGCCCAAGAGTTTATTTGAGGTTGCTGTAAGCCTTGACGCCACAGTACTCTACCAAGGGCAACATAGTGAGACTCTGTCTCTAAAAAAACAAAAAAACAAATTAGCTTTGTGATAACATCATAGAGTATGCTTATAAACTTAGATGATATAGCCTACTACACACTTATACTGTACTGAATACTGTAAGCAAATGTACCACAATGGTAAGTATTTGTGTATCTAAAAATAGAAAATGAGGAGTAGCTCGGCGCCTGTGGCTCAAGTGGCTCAGGTGCCAGCCACATACACCTAAGGTGGCGGGTTCGAATCCAGCTCAGGCCTGCCAAAACAACAATGACGGCTGCAACCAAAAAATAGCCAGGCGTTGTAGTGGGCGCCTGTGGTCCCAGCTACTTGGGAGGCTGAGACAGGAGACTTGCTTGAGGCCAGGAGTTGGAGGTTGCTGTGAGCTGTGATGACATAGCACTCTACCCAGGGGGACAGCTTGAGGCTCTGTCTCAAAAAAAAAAATAAAAAAGAAAATGAGGAGTAAAAATACAGTATTATAATCTTATGAGACCACTGTTGTATATGCAGTCCATCACTGACCAAAATGTTGTTATGGGGCACACTGTATATGTGCATATACATGTATGTATATATGTGTATATAGATATAACTGTATATATGTGTGTATGTGTATACATGTCTTTTTGATTGATGAAACTTTTTTTTTTAAAGACACAGTGTCTCACTATGTGGCCCTTGGTAGAGTGCCGTGGAGTCACAGCTCTCAGCAACCTCCAACTCCTAGGCTTAGGCGATTCCCTTGCCTCAGCCTCCCAAGTAGCTGGAACTATAGGTGCCCCCCACAATGCCTGGCTAAGGGCCGGGTTCTTGCAGTTTGGCTGGGGCCGGGTTTGAACCCGCCACCCTCGGTATATGGGACCAGTGCCCTACTCACTGAGCCACAGGTGCCTCCCAGTTGATGAAACATTTTAAAGTAATTCACAGACATCATGATAATATCACAGACATCATGATAATAAATCCTTAGGATGCATCACTTATTACACCTAAGAAAGTTAGCAATAATTCTTCAATATCTAATGCTTAGTTAATATTCAAATTTTCCTTATTATACCACAAATGTCTTTTAGGGCTGTTTTTCCCAAACTAGGCTCCTATCATGAACCAAGCATTGCCTTTGATTGACATTTCTCTTAAATCTATGCTTTGCTAAACTATTTGTGATGTTATTCATGTTAGGATTAGTAGCCCACTCTTCCCTCTCTTCCAACAAAACTCACCAGAAGGTATTCTTGTTTTAATCAGGGAGAGCTTATTCATTTTCCAAAAGACCCTCCTGGTAGCAGTGCCACTTTTCCCCAAATAATGAAGTACTCACCCTGAGTCCAAATGGTGTCTAGCCCTCAGGGATCACTCCCACTGCTGAAAATCAGGCTAGCATCTTTGGGAAAAGGTACCCACCCCTTCTCTGGAACAATCTCTGGGCCTGGAATGCCTTAGCATATCTGGAGGAAAGAGGGGCCTAGAGAAGTATAGGCAAGGGCGAGTACCTGGCCTGGAGCTCCAGGGAGCGCTGCTTTCCTGACACCAGGAAGGTTCGAGGCAGATTGAGGTTGGAGCTCTCCTTTAGCTGAATGGAAGGCAAAAGGTGCATGGTGAGGCACACTGAGCTTCACAGTCTTGTACATACAGACTTGGGTTCAAAACCAGCACAACTTTGTTCCTCCCAACAAAAATGTCCCATTCCAGGTTCCTATTTTCATCCTTCTGATGCTTACCTCCATGCCATCTACATCAATGCGTGCCCGCACACTAAACTTCTGGCCAAGGAGCCGCAGCCTGGGCACACAGTAAAGTAGGCGGTCGTTGAACTAGGAAGGAAAAGTTTTGGGATGTATGTGCAGAGTACCTAGTGGGATATGGCCCAGCTCCCTCCCCTTATGGGATTCCTGAAGCTTTACTGCTGAAGACTCAAGGCAACAGATAGAGTAAAGATACCACTGATTGGACACAGGGGTCAATAAGGAAAAAGCCTAAATATGTAAGAAACTTCCTAGTGGGTGGCCTTGGGCAAGTCTCTTCCTTGTAAGCCTTGGTAACCTCATTTATAAAGTAGAGAAGAGAAATTCCTAGTGTAGGTAGTAAAAATACAATGAATTACTACAGGAGAGAATGGAAAGTGGCAGGTATAGTCTTGAGTGAATACCAGCTCCAATATGTGTATGTGTCGGGGGGGTGGCATGGCCCACCTACAACTCCATGCCTGACACTTACTAGTATGAGGTATCGATCTTGAGTGGTCCCATTCTTTGCTGACAGCTTAAGGATGTGGCCTTCTTTTATGAGCTCTTTGGTGGGGCTAACAATGTCCTCCTCACCCCCTAGCAGCTCGTATACCTTTAGCAGCTTGTGCATTCGCTCCTGGCAGAAGACAGGGAATAAAAGGCAGGGTTTCCAGCCTCATCTCAGAGGCCTAAAATTCACAAGCCCCTCCTCCCCTGGGGACAGAGACACCACAGGTGGCTGACCAAGGAAGGGCAGGGACTAGCAGGGAAACTCACCATTTTGCGGATGGCAGCATTAGAGTGCTCTGCTGCTGTGGCTATCAATTCCAGAGACTCTATTGGCACAGAGAAGAGAAGTTAGATGGGAAACTAGCAAAGGAGGCTCCCACAGAGCTTTTTTCCTTTGTGAATACCTTTTCCGGGCCTGACTTCACCCTCCCCATCCCAGAAAGCACTAGCTTCAAAGATTTCCACAGCAATATCATTTAAAATCAGAAACTAGGGTGGTGCCCGTGGGAGAGGGAACTACAGGCACCCGCCACAACGCCCAGCTACTTTTGGGGTCTCACTCTTACTCAAGTTGGTCTCCAACTCCTGAGCTCAAGCAATCCACTTGCATTGGCTTCCCAGAGTACTAGGATTATGAGCATGATCCACTGTGCCTGGCCTCAAAATTTTTGTTTTTTAAAAATTAGTCTAGGGCGGTGCCTATGGCTCAAAGGAGTAGGGCGCCGGCCCCATATACTGGAGGCGGCAGGTTCAAACCCGGCCCTGGCCAAAAACTATAAAACAAACAAACAAAAAAAAAGCAAAAGAATTAGTCTAGTCTTGGAACACATAGCTCAATGGCTAGGGTGCTGGCCACATACACCAGTACTGGTGGGTTTGAACCTGGCCAGGGCCTGCTAAACAACAATGACAACTGCAACAAAAAAATAGCCAGGCCTTGTGGTGGGTGTCTATAAGCCTATAATCCCAGCTACTTGGGAGACTGAGGCAAGAGAATCGCTTAAGCCCAAGAGTCTGA